GGTCGGGCCCTGGCGCCATGTTGGGCGCCCGTAGCGGGGGCCCCCTGGAGAGTCGGGCCGGAGCTGGAGCTGGTGCTGCCCGTGCAGCGCCGCTGGGAGGGGCTTGGGCCGCGCTGGTTTAACGACTGAGCGTTTGGGGAAGTACCTGCCCGCTGTGGGTGCTCACAGCGGTCTCGCTGGGTGGATCCGGTGACAGTCCGGGCTGATCCAGATGGGTTTGGGAAGGCGTTGGGGAAAAACCACTGGAGAGGCACAGGGTGTTCAGAAGGGATCTAGGGGAAAAGCAGGGATTTATCAGCAATTTATTACAGGACCCCTTTTGCTGAAACGTAAGAAGTAACACAGGCCTAGTAGGTTGTGTGTGTGGCCTGTGCTTTGTATGAAGCCTTCTGGGCTTCCTGGGACGTGCTGCTCAACGGGAGCGTCAGGGTTGCAGAAGGAGCCTGTGGTGGCTGTGCTGCTGCAGCCTGGTTAAACTGGCCTGACCTTCAGTTCACCCCTGGGGATTGACATAGGAGAACTCTTAATGCAGCAGGTCTGTGAAACTCATCGGCAAACCAGACTTCTCTGTCCCCTGATGTCTCACCAGTACGTGCCAATTATTAATCTCCACATCAGTCACCAGATGGTGAAATTATATACCTTCACATGTCTTTTCCTCTCAGAACTAAGAAACTCTGTTCTCAGTTCCAATCAGGATAGGCTAAGAAAAATACGTACTTTCTAATGATGTTAAACACGTAAGTGACAAGAATTATTTCACTGGAAACAACTTTAATATCTCACGTCTCTTCAGCTCACCTATCCATCTCAGCACAGAATCCTCCTCAAAAAAAAAAAAGAGAAAAAAAATTTTGAGACTGTTCAACCTGATGGACTGGGCCCCTGAAGCTGAACAAAAGCTAAAGCAGAGGTTTAACAGTATCGTGCAAGCCAAGGTGATAAAAATGTGTGGGTTTTTTATAAGTTGCAGAAAGCAAAATTTATTTTTTTTCCTTTCTCTTCCCCTCATCCTCAGATTCCAAATAAATGACTGTGGTGTTGAGGTTTTTTTTACTTTCCAATATGCTAAATTTTTAGATACTTGACAAATAGGGTTTCTCATTCACAGAGATAAATTTCAGTGCAAGTGTTTTAGTAATAGCATTATGAGTCAGAAATACAGATTCTTTCAGCTCAGAAAGGAAGGAGATGCTTTTATGGAGATCTCTAATCCAGCATCCTACTCAAAGCAGGGTTTACACTGAATTCCAACTACTTTCTCCAGCATATTTTTTAAATTCATTTCTGACTTACTTCAAAAGTCATCAAAAGAGACTTGGTCTAATCAAAGACTGTCTGGTCTAGGATATTTATTACCTGTGAATCAGAGATAATTAATCATTAGGATTTGGTGGCATCATTACTCTGACTTCAGCGTTAAAAGTGTCTGATAACTTTAATTTTTGCATACCAAGTGTGGCACAAGAAACCAAAGACACTCAAAGCTATACATAAAATTAATTGCATTCCAATTGCACAGCGACATGTGGATTTTATAAAAAATACTGACCTGTTCAGCATTAGCTGTTCTTTAGGATGGTATCAGTGCTGACTTTGCTGTTTCGGCAACTGCATCCTTTAAAGCAGAACTTCTGTTTGTGGATCATGGTGCAAATTGGCTAGTGAGTAAAGGGAAGAGCACAAGTACCTCATGGGAGAATGAATCATATTGTGCTCATACGCCTACATCACAAGTAGCAGTCTCTAAATGAAACCATACCCAACACTAGGGTACTCAGCTGTATTCCTGGAACAAGTGTTAAAGAAAGATTAATATAATTTCAAAGTACAGGTTCCATCTTTGGTCTCAAACTCTACATGAAATAGCTGATCTGTAACTATACAAGTAACTATACAGTGACTTGCAGAACTGTAGAACATGCAGCCAGGACTGTTTGACTGGTGGGTCTCTGAGTGAAGTCTGCTCTTATTTTCCCTTGATAGGTTCAAAACACAGGTTAGCAATCCTGTGTAGCACTCCAGTTTCTAAAAAGCTTCTGCAACTGCTCTGGTATGTTTGCACACAGTTGCAACTTGAGAGGTTGGTAAGAATGTCTCTCCATACACTTCACTGATTTCAAGGTCTCTGCTGTCATCCTAGGCCTGTATTCCTGAGTTAGATTAGAGTGATATTTCATTCAAAATAAAATAACCCCTTGTTACTACTGTTTATATAAAATCTCTTTTTTTCAGTACAGAGGTAGGTAACCTCTATATCGCCATCTGATAAGAAAAATTGATGTTACATCTAAAGAAGTTAAGACAAAATTCCAGACAGTTCTAGATGAGATCAAGGAAAGCAAGTCTGACATGCCTCAGTCCTGAGGCTTTGCAAACACAAGGAAAGCCTGTCGCTCGTTATGAGTAATTGCAATACTGTGTTTACTGGCCTACAGGGTAACAATCTATATTACCAGGTCGTTATTGCAATAACAACTCTGTAGATCAAAAATATTGGAGGTATAGGCAATATTATGTTATTCAAATTCAGTTCTCAAAATATATTTTATCTGCGTAATTGCATCTGAGCTAGACAATACTAGAAAGGTTTCAGAAGCCTCAGGACAAAATATTTTAATTACTAAGGAAAAAAAAGAGTACCACAAGAGCAGCTTTGAGACATAAATGGCAAAACTGCTAAAAAAAATAATTATTTTCACCGTGGCAGTTCTGTAACTTTCTTCATATTACTATGAATAGTGTAGTGTAACAAAGTAGCCTTAAAAATAAGGTGACAGAAGGAGCAGAATACCTCTGAAAAGATAGTAGCTATTACTGTTAGCATCATGTAACCAGGTTAAAGAGGTTTCAGGCATGGACAAGAGCTGCATTTTGTTAGGTGCTACATAAGCACACATATACCTCAGAGTCTGAAAGAAGATTGCTAAATGCCATTTCACTTCACTTGTACATTAAGTTTGAGGATTTTATTTCTACTCAGATTATATCCAAAAACGGTTAAAGAAAAAGTGAGAGCACATGATGTCACCTCTGTTAGTGCGCTTTATTACATTCCTTATCTGTGGAAAGAGAAACTAGATGTGTAAAAAGTTTTAAGCCAGGTAACTGCTTTCCTGGGCTTTGTATGTAATGCTCCCTGAAGTGTAAGTAGCCATTTAACTTATTCTTTTAATTTTTTTGTCTGAATAAAGTACCAAAAGAATGTGTCATTAATTTAGGGTTCTGCCTTTCATATTTGACCACTAGATGATGCTGTGACTCTTAATTGCAAGTGATACTGTACTGTCAATATTTTAATGTTATTCTTTCATTTTATAGAAAGCTGCAGCAGTTTTATATACGAAAACTTGGTATTTTCTTTGTTGTTCTTACATGGGTTGTAGCTGTATATACTATATATAGACTAGTTATACTTTATACAAATCCATATAGATCACAGATCTTGGTGGTAGCTCTTTCTGCTGATACTGAGAATATCACATTATTCTAGAAACTGTGCACATATATTTTCTCCAAATATGGACTGCTTTGAGTGCAGACTTTTGCCAAAAGTTGAAAGCATCCTAAAAAGAGATTTGATATGTTTAATTCAGATTAATATTTCATTCCGTTTTATCTGTCCGACATAATTTGTTATAATAGTGGGTTTAGTTTCAGTTTTAGAATTTATTTTTCCATGCGATAACTGCATATAGAATTAAGGGTTAACACTTCTATTTCTCAACTATTGCTAAAATATGAAATGATCTTACTTGTTTCCATAGGCATTAGTTCTGATTTCTGTTGCCATAAGTAATTTCACCTTTTTATATCAAGAAGTGCAGTGGTTTGATTCACACTGTTGGGTCTCCTAGCCAAGAGCTCCATTAGACTTTCAAAGATGACACCATTTTACTGATCATGTTCTCAAGGTGATTTCTGAAGAACAACATCTGCTTTCATGTGAGCTGACTGGTTTTCCCTGTTTGCCATTTCTATGAACTCCTACAAACACTTTAATTTCTGCAGTAATTCTTCCATCTTCTTATAGAAAATATTAACTACAATATGATTAAATTGATTGCAGCAGACAAAGCACACCTAGTCAACTAGCTCCCTCTTGTATAGGCATGTTAAAGGCCAACTCCATTCATGTCATCCCCATATGCCAAAAACTGCAAGAATAAAAACAGGGTATAGAGTTCAGAACAACCTGTAGTGAGGTCAGTGCCTGTCAGCTCCAGCATAAAGGAGGCTTGCAACTAGCCTCATATCAGTCTTTCCCACTTCTAGACATGCATGTAGTGTATGTCTGCCAGTCAGTGATCTGGATCCTATTTTCAGTATGTAAGCAAGGAAATTACACTCTTTGAGAGATAAGTAGTATGTAAAGCCTATTTTGCCCTCATTGAAGAGCATCTGCCTGTCACACTGAGGTCTAATTGGGAAATGGCTTCATTGCACTAGAATGCCATCTTCACTATGACATTGTTATATCCACAGCAGGCTCGGAATTAGTGTTGAATTGAGGTATAATTCAACACTAATTTTAAAAGGCAGCTTCCTTTTTTTGCAAACTCCTTAACCATTATACTGAAACTGGGCTTCTGTCACATAAGTGTGCTGTCTTGCTTTGGTGTATGTCTTTACTAGTTTACTTTGAAGGAGGCTTATATAAAGGACACCAAGTTGCAGTAGTTATGCTAAATATATAGGTTACTATTCATTTTACTTCCAGTAAAATTTTTACTTGGCATCTTCAAAGACATTTAAAACTGCCTCCCAAAATAGTAATTATACATTTATATAGGAAAGAAGTGCATGAAGTAAAACTCCTTACATTAATTAGTTGCCATTAACATTTGTTGAAAATTCTGCTCCACTAGAATGACATTTGGGGACCTCAAACCTACAGAGCATGCTTACACAGTTGCAGTGTGCATGCAGTAACACACTCTAACAGGGAAGCACAACAAAGAGTTATAAGGCTTTCTTCAGGTGTAACTAGAGGCTAGTCAAAGGCTAGGCAAAGACAGAAAGCCACTTGCTTTTTTCTTCCACCCCCCAACTAGGCAATGTAGACTCCTGTTTCATTAATTGTTCCACTGATATCCAACTACTATATGAAGTATCTATTCAGTATTAGTAAGGATATCAACATTCTACTTTGACTTTTTCTGGTCTTAAAACTATTGGTGTACAGTTGATTAAAGCTTCATCACTAGATTTTCCATTCAAATATGTCTATATATTTTTCAAACCCTGAAGAGTTCTGGGTTGTAACAGACTTCTATTTTGTTTGAGAGTGATTTATTTATGTACTTTTTCTTTGTGTCTGAAATCTGTTTTTAGATGTGAGTAGGTATATCCATTTCTACTGTGGCAGAACTTCATTGGTCAGAAGAGGCTTCCCTGCTGCAAGAAGAATTTTCTTCAATAACTTTAAAAAGTCATCTGGAGATTTATTGACTTGAATTATAGCAGCTGACTTATCACTTAGGCTTTGTGTAAATGACAGAAGAGGATGACAAATTTCATAGGGGAATATAGTGGATTTCACACATTGTCACTGATAAACAGAAGAGCTCAAATAGTCATTAATATTAGATGTATACATTTACTTTATATATTAGTGCCAAAGTCAGCCTGAGATTGGAGTCAGGTCATATTTAAAAGAAGAACAGAGAAGAATGAGAGGACAGTATCTTAAGTCAAACTTCAAAATATAAGAATATTCACCCATGGTTAAATTCTTTCCAGTATAGAGTGTCTGTAAAAGTTCTTTTGCAACTCTGCTTCATTTAAGACAAGACTATAAAAGGCTCTATTTCCCCCTAGGTTCTTCTCCTTGTTGTACCCTAATTAGAGTTTTAATCTAGTTTGCTATTATTCTGATTCTACTGAAAAAGAGCATGAGTTAGAAGGCTTTCAAGTGTACACTCATAATTCCACTTGAGTTTCCCTGGCTTTTTAAAGCAACTAGTTTTTATGTTGATATGATGATATTATGATATTGAAGTATTAATTTTCCACTTGAGGAAAATTGTTTTCTTTTTGCACACTATCTAAAAAAGCTGTGGGGCTAATAAGGCATTTTATGTATTTAGAACAATATTTTTGTTTTATAACTTTGATAAAATCTACACAGTGAAGCATCTCAATGCCTTCATCTATATGCTTTCAGAATGACCTGGCTCAGGTCTTCAAGTAAAAGATAGTCATCTTACTAGACCTTTTTTCCCTGTAAGGTTAATATTTTTTAGAGCAGGCTCCTTTGGGGCAAGAGCATTCCATCCAGTTTCACTGAATCCTAGATGCAGTAAGTGTTACATATAGGTTCTCGCTTTGCTGAAAGCTTCTACATGCATGGTGCTGAGCACTCTACCTCAAGTAGAGGTTCAAGCATAAGCTGAAAGCATATTAGTCTCATTAATTACTGTCTAGATTGAGATCTAAGTATTCAATATAGTTCAGGCTTGAAATCCACTTGTAAAACTGCAATTTAAATTTATGGCACATTGAAGAAGAACATGCATATGGCATACC